GGGGGAGGGGAGAGAGAGAGATTTCTGACCCCTCACTGGGAGTATCAAGAAAGGTAACATTTGGACCAAGTCTCTGTCAAAGAGAAAACATTTGGATGTAAGCAGTGAGGCACAGATGTAGCATGAGCAAATGTACAAAGATGGTAAGTTTTGGTGAACATTCAAGGAAACAATGAGTAGTGGTTTGTGTACTGAGTAGACATGAAAGTAGGAGGGAAAATCATCGGTTGTTAGCATGCTTTGAATGACTTCGTTGGGTCTTTATTCATCAAGTAATAGAGAATTGTTGAAATAATTTTTGAACAAGGAATATGATTGTTTTTAAAAGATTAATCTGACAGCTCTGTATAAAAATGAATTAGAGGAAAGAAGAAAAAAGAGAGGAGGTCAGTAGACTTCTGTTGCAATAGCCCAGGGAAAAGGTAATCAGGGTTTGTAAAAGTAGGCTGGTAACAGGGGAAAGGAGAAGAGGAGGCAGATGTGGAAAACTGATTAAATTTTCTAGGTGCTAGAAAATCTAAATGCTGAAGATTCAACGGCAATGACAACAGAGCATCCCACAATAGACTATTTTAATAAGAACTTAAAAGTTTTGAAAAGCCCTGAACAGTTGTACATAAAAGACAGCATGCTGCTCAGGAGGCATCCATCTATATGTCATTGAAATCAGCTCTCTGGTATCATTCCCAAGGCTGCCAAAGGAAAGGGAATTGCAATCAGTGATGTGAAAACAACTAAATTTTGCCATTTAAATAAAAATTCACAGATGCTAGAAATCTTCTGAATTGGATGGCAGTTCTCCCACATTGTAAAAAATAAATAAATAAATAATTTTTAAATGAGGTAAAACACAACAAAAATCACTTAGGAAAAAAAGGGAGGGCTACAAATGTAGAAATAATCATTTTTTCTATTGGAGTTTGAACAGCTTTGGGAGCTGGCATTGTGTACAGGACACCATCTTAGCGTCACAGTATTTTTCGTGTGTTTACACAAAGCTTTCCAATCCTCTCATTTGACCCTCTCCGAGATCCTGGTAGAATAGGCAATATAATCATAATAGCTCCATTTTTCTGATGGCTCAGATGATCAAATAAGATGAATGGGTGTGAAAGTACATTGTAAACTGTAAAGGGCCCTAGCAAAGTTTGCTTATGAGATGTATAGATTCTTCCTCTTTCTAAAAAAGAGGCATTTTTAGTGTTGCTAGGCATTATTTTTTATGACAGCTTTATTGAGGTATAATAGTTGACATACAGTGAACTTTATGTATTTCAAAAATATAATTTGATATTATTGACACATACATACATATAGCTGTGAAACCATCACTAGAATCAAAATAATGAATATGTCCACTTCATCCAAAAGTTTTCTTTATGCCTCTTTTGTAATCCTGTCCTCCTTTGACTTTTCATTTCCCTCCCCAGGCAACCTCTGATCCTTTTTTATGTTTGATTAGTGTGCATTTTCTAGAGTTTCATATAAATGCAATTATATATATCTTCTTGTTTCTTTGTATAGATCCATATTTTCATGTGGTACCATTTTTCCTGTACTTGAATTTCCTTTAACCTTTTTTTATATATATAATGCAGGTGTGCTTCTGGTGAATTATTTCAGCATTTGTATCAAAAAGAATTTATTCTACCTTTCGTTTTGAAAGACATGTTCTCGGTATAGAATTCTAGGTTGACAGGTTCCCATCTCCTCAGATGTTGCTCCACTATCTTCTTGATTGCATTGTTTCTGACAACAAATATCACATTATTTCCTTTGAGTATGTACCCAGAAGTAGAATTACTGGATAGTATGGTAGATCTATTTTTAATTTTTGGAGAAACCTCCAAATTGTTTTCCATAGTGGTTGGACAAATTTACATCCCTGCCAACAATGTATAAGGGTTCCCTCTTCTCCACATCCTCACTATACCTGTTGTCACTTGTCTTGTTGATTATAGCCATTCTGACAGGTATGAGGTGACATCTCATTGTGGTTTTGATTTACATTTCCCTCATGATTAGGGATGTTGAGCATCTTTTCATGTGACTGTTGTCCATTTGAAGCCCTCTTTGAGGAATTGTCTGTTTAGTTCTGTTTATTTTCTAATTGGATTTTTCTTGTTATTGAGTTGATTGAGTTCTTTATATATTTTGGATATTACCCCCTTATCAGATATATGGTTTGCAAAATTCTTCTCCCCTTCTGTAAGCTATCTTTTCTTTTTTTTTTTTTTTTTGGTTNTTGAATGGTTTCTAGAAAGAGTTTCTTGATTCTCTAAACTGGAATAATCTTTCTCACTGAACTCAAAGCATTTCAGCAGCACCATTCATGATTTTTTTTTTTTTTTTGGTTGTTTCTTCTGAGTGTGATGTATTCCCATTTGATTTTTTATTATTTGTGTTTTTGGCATCATAAGACTCGTTCTTGATACCATTACCCAGACAGCCTGCCTCTGCCAGAGGTAAGATTACAGATGGAGGTATGGAACTCCTACAGACAAGACTGACCCAACACCTGTAATAGTAAACCGTTATCAGAGATAAGACTATAATCCAAGTCTTTTGATAGTTCACCTTGCTAGTAGTGGGGAGAGAATTGGGGGTTATGTGGTCACTTGAAACTGCCGCAACCGCATCTGAAGCACTAAACTTGGAAAGGTCCTTACAGTTGCTCAGTCACTGGGCTGCTCTTGTATTCCTCTGTCTCCCTCTTGTGCACTTAGGTTACCGCATTCGCCTGGGCTCTAGCACTGACAAGAAGGACACAGGCCGCCTTCACGTTGACTTTGCACAGGCTCGAGATGACCTGTATGAGTGGGAATGCAAACAACGTATGCTGGCAAGGGAGGAGCGCCACCGAAGAAGGATGGAAGAAGAAAGATTGCGCCCACCATCCCCACCCCCAGTGGTTCACTATTCAGATCACGAATGCAGCATTGTTGCTGAAAAACTAAAAGGTATAGAAAGGGTTAAAGCTTTGTGAGTAAAAGAACTCTTTCCTTTGAGGAAATTTAATAAATATATTTGTGGTTTTTGCAATTATCCTTTGAATTTTCCACTAATAGATTCTAACATTTCTTGTGTTGGAACCTTACAGATAGAGAGGTGTACCTAGTAGTTCAGAAGCCAGAAAATCTGTCCGTCCCACCTGTGTCTCTATTCCCTCACTGTCTCAAGGGATGGCATTTTTCTCTCAACACATCAAGTTTCTAGAAAGAAACAAGTTTTCCCCCTTCCCACATCAGAGATTTTAGCTGTAATCCATGACTAGGAACATGTAAGCACCTTCCCTTTCATCATTGATAACAAGTTAGTTTGAATTCTAAATCAGAATAAATTAGAATGATGGAACTTGATATGAGCCTGGAAAACTCTGGTAAAAATCCCCATTTTACAGATAAGAAAACAGAGGACCCAAGAGTAGTCACAGTGTACATTCTTCTTAAATTATTCAAAGACTTAGCTACCACCAACAAAAGAGGACTTGTTCAATCACTAAAAACGGTCAACTTATTTCACACAGTGTCCATGGAAACTTCTAGACATTGCTAAATGAGACTGCTTCCCTTTTAGTTTTGATTCCTATTTCTCTTGCTTGACCCTCAGAACCATTTTGTCAATTTAACATTAATTGCCCTGCCTACTCTCCTGTGTTAGTAGCTCAAATTCAGTCTTTTCATTTGTGAGTATGGTTGATTTTATCAGATGAATGCTGGTGTCCCATTGATCTTATTGATGACACCAAACCAGGTTTAAAGGTATGAATTTCCCCTGCTTCTTCTGCTGTAGGCTCAGCAAGATGCTGCTAATTCTACTTTCAATGGGCCTCATTCACCAAACTTGTTTGCACCATATACCCTAAGGCAGCGATTTTCAACCAATGTGCCACAAGAATTTTTAAAACATGCAAATACCTGACTCTTTAGTCAGGGGCACTGACCTCTTTCCCCTTGTACTGTCAAATGAAAAAATGACTACAGCCACCACAACAATAGCCATCCGGTGTGAATGAATCAAAATTATACCATTTTTTGTCAGACTGGCAAAAAATATAGTTTTGGGTGTGCTGCAGAATTTTAGTAATTAGTTTATGTGTGCCATGAGGTGAAAAAGGTTGAAAATCGCTGACCTAAGGGATTCACACACTTAAGAAATCCTTTGTTTGCATTGACTTTGTCTTCCCATAAGAAAAAAGCAGAAAACAGAGTCTAGAATGGAGACACAGAAATAATGGTACATTTTTAAAAAACTGGGAAGGCTGAAAGCATTGGTAAGATGCCAGTCCAAGAATAACCTGTTCACATACACCAAACAGGTCAATTTGATTTCTTTAATGAATTTGCTGCTCATGCGGATCTCAAGCATAAAGTGAGCATTAACATAAAGACTATACGCAAGTAGTGAAATGAAAAGCTGCTGTAAAGTGCAGGCTGGCCTCAGTATATGTCTACACTGAAAAAAGTCAAGAGGCAAGAGGTTCAAATTGCAGCGAGAGGTATTCCCATTGTACATAAGGGTTTCTGGCCAGAGAAGGATGTGGAGCCCTAGAACATGCTTTCAATAGAATATTAATGGACTCTCCCTCTCAGGAGTTCTTAACAGCAGAATATATAAGTGGCTATCTCAGGAAGCTCGACCAGAAGCTTTGGAAGAGCTCTGCTACTATTTTAACATTAGAGAATAACTCTTAACTAGCTGCAGAACTATACCTGGAGGTTTCCTCAGGCAAGTGAAACAGGATGTGAAGAAATGCAGAAACAGAATGAATTACATCAAAATAGATTGTGACTGGGACTGGGTGGAAGGCCTGGGGCTGTGGATTGAATGTAGTCGTGAGGTTATAAAAGGTCAAAGATGTAAGTGTTTATTCCTAAAGAATTACCCATTAAACTCCTTCTTAAGGCTCCTTCTAACACTGTAATTACAAATCAAGGAAAAAGTTACTGTCAAATTCAAGTTAGACTCAATTTTACTTTTCCTTATTAAAAAATAGGATTGTAGAATTCTGAAGTTCTCTCGCTGCTAATTCCATACATTACACACATGCACACATACACACAATCAGAGAGATTAAGAAATTTGCAATATGTGAGAACTGTATCAGTAAAGAAAACTTTTTAAAGCAAAGGATAAACTGAACTAACAAGCATAATAGAGACAGACTCATAGATAGGAAATAATAGGCTGACAGCCGTCGGAGGGGTGGGAGTGGGGCTGGGAGTAGGTGGAAGGATTGAGCAAAAAAGAAAAAAGAGAAAGAACTCATTGACCTGGACAACAGCGTGGTGATTGCAGGGGGAAGGGGTGGGGGAAGGTGGAAGAGGGTATAGGTGGGAGATAAATGGTGTGGAAAAAAATAAAATAAAGAAAAAAATCTGAAAAAGAAAGAATAAACAATTGCCTTTCTGAAAATTCTTCATGGACTACGATCAGTGTACTTTATGCGTCCTTCCTCCTTTCCGTCTGCTGGCCTGCTGCCCGTGTGCACGTGTCGGTGCGTGCATGACGCCGCATCCTCAGCAGTTCATTTAAGAACCCCTGCCAAAAGGTCATGGTGGCGTCCTTCCCGGCACGTTGGGAAAATAGATCAAGATTTGGTTGCTTTTGATGATTCTAAAAATAAATTCTTGTTTTCAGATGATTCCAAATTCTCAGAAGCCGTGCAGACCTTGCTCACTTGGATTGAGCGAGGCGAGGTGAACCGTCGCAGTGCCAACAACTTCTACTCCATGATCCAGTCTGCTAACAGCCATATCCGTCGCCTGGTGAATGAGAAAGCCGCCCACGAGAAAGACATGGAAGAAGCAAAGGAGAAGTTCAAGCAGGCCCTGTCTGCAATTCTCATTCAGTGTGAGTGGAAATCAGAGTTCTGCTGAAAAGAGGAGAGGGTACCTCACTTAATCACCATTGTTTCTGCACAGGAGCCAAGCCTCCAACACCATTCTGTGTCAAGGAGCAAGGTTTCCTTCACTGCCTTATGGTCTCATATTGTCAAATGCCTGAGTTCCAATTTCACAGGCTACATGGGGGGAACCTATGTTTATTTTCTCTGGTATATCTCCTTCAGCTCCTTAGAAACAAACACTGACACTTATGCCACAACCCTGTGCTTCTACTTTGGCTTGTTCTCAAGTTACAAGCAGCCTCAGGCCTCGATGAAAGTTGGGAATTTTGTTGCTGAAGTTAAAACGTAGCATCAACATTTGTAAGATTTGCATCATTCTTATCATATAATATGCTTTTTAGGTAACAAATTATAGTAATTAATATAATCATATTTCCCAAGGTGACTGAATAAAAGCCAAATTTGCTACTGCAATCTTTTGCTTTTAGTTTCCTGTCTTCTATGTTTCCTTGCTGAATGTCATTGACAGTGGAACAGGATGGGAAGCCACTGAAATGGCCATTTTTCAAAAAGAAATACTACTCTAAACCTACCCACAGTCTCTTAAATGAGACAGATCAGATAAACTCTCAAGCAGTGTTTTACTTCACTGTACTGCGCTCATATCTTTTGAGTAAGGAGCTCTATTTACCTTAAGAATAAAGGTGCAGTTTTATGATTTTGCCTTTAAACAGTATGGCCCACTGTTCTCATACTTGACTCATATGTAATTGGAATTAAGGAGGAATCGTTTCACTTTCCATTTTTATTTTGAAATTATATATGGGCATAGAATCCAGGAGGAAAAAGCACATTTTTGTCAGACTAAAGGATATAGAAAAAGACAGGAGCAAGTATCATGGCAATATAAATTCTTAAATCATTAGTACACAGGGTACAAACTGTGCTATAAAGAAATAGAAACCTCTGGATTTTCCTACTGTGAACACTGGCCAAGGTGTTCTTGTCCTCTTCTGTTCTCAAAAATGTCATGTCTAAGTTTCCCTTCTCTTAAACGGGTTAGGATAAAGCCCCAAAATATTTGTATACATTTCCTCTTTTGACATTTTAAGAGACCCTGAAAAATACTATCTAAGACTGTACTTACACAGTATTCTTTCATAAAACTTACATTTCTGTAGTTAATGAGCCTATCCTGACAGGCTTAAAATGCATTCCATCCATCTTAGGTTTTGATTGCATAGCTCAGAATAGGAGAAGAATGGATTATGTTGAAGTGAAGCATCCAGGCTCGCTTTGGAGGGCTAGTTTATGAAAGAAGCAGGCAGTCAAAAAGAGCTGGTATAGTTTGCTGCTTGACACCATGCCCTGCAGAGTCAGGAGCACTAAATCACCAGGACCCTTGCCATTCCTGCCTGAATGGATACAGACTGCCTGTATTAAAACTTTGTCGCCATTTCACCTCAAACCTTCTGGAGTTCCCTTTTCTCTCTGTGTATATTGATATCTCTGCCTTTGAGTCCCCTATAAAATCACGGCACTCCAACACACATAGCCTTTTATGAACACAGCCATAGTCTAATAGTGTCATACAAGAAGATACAACAAGCCTGATGCTTCTCTTATGTGTTTTGTTCCTTCTTTTGCCATCCCTGGATGCCACTCTGACCTGATTCCACTGCTGATCTGATGCTGCAGTTGAGCAGATAGTTGCTGTGTACCATTCTGCCTCCAAACAAAAGGCATGGGACCACTTCACAAAAGCCCAGCGTAAAAACATCAGCGTTTGGTGCAAACAAGCTGAGGTTGGTAACTTTTTACTCTTGGAGCCCCTAAGGGAGACAGTTTCTTTCTTGAACAAGTTATTGATTTGGACTTTAGCCAGAATTAAATAGTGCCAAGCTCCCATGGTCACAACAAGGCCCTAATGAAACACTAAGATGTGTTCTATCACCTGTCACTGTGTCCAGACCACCTGCTGCCAAAAGGGTAATAAATGTGCACATTCTGCTCAACAGAAACCTTAGTAGTGAAAATGTAGCTGTGATAATTATAAGTTTACTTCTCTAAGCTAGCTAGTCTTGGATACAACAATAATTACTGACCTGTGCATTCAGTGTTAGTATTATTAGGGCTGTCTTACATTTATTAGAGCGTCTTGACAGTTTGGCTGGAAGCTGCCTGACGTTACATTGGAGCATTGAAATTTCTGAGCTTCTTTTATCAAACCTCCTCAGCCATCTCTATAGGTGTCAGCTTTAAAGATAACAGAGGACTCTGATTTCAGATTAAGGTTGACACATACCTCTCTGCTTGTGCTGAAGTGACATTTTTAGCATAACACTAGAATATGTCTGATGTGACTAGGTTGCTATTCTGAATCCAAGATTAAAAAGCAAGATGGGAGGGGTTTTTTCACTTTTATGTCTTTAAAATGGTGTTACAAATATCTCAAGTTCTTCTGTTCCTATGGGCAGCTTCATTACTCAGCCCTGACATGTCTGATCTATGTATGCAGCAACTTTTTCAACTTTGTTTCTGAGTCCTCCTTGCCAGTCTGGTAACAGTCCCATTTTATATATATATGTATATATGTGTGTGTGTGTATATATATATATGTATATATGTATATGTATATATCAATGCAGATTGTCATATTCTTTAACATTTAAATAGCATTCATAAGACATTTACATTTTACAAAGCATTTTCACATTGGTTGTCTCACCTACCTCCCAGTAGATGTGGTGTAGTTGGAAAGAACACTGAACTTGGACTCAGGCATGAATCCAAATCTCAGCTTTGACATGTTATAGCTGTATGACTTTGAGCAAGTCAGCCTTTCTCAGTCTCTATTTCTTCACCTGTAAATTGGAGTTAATAATGAAACTAGTCTTAGAGGTTTAAATAAGGTAAGAGATGTGTAGACAGCTTGAAAAATGTAAATGCTGTATAAATGATAAATAGTATTATTTCAATTTATCATTAACAACTCCCCAAGGGCTAATAAGTAGGTATAGTATCCATGTTTTACATGTGAGGAAACTGAGACAGAAGTGTAAAGTGATGCACACAAAATTACACAGCTAGTAAGTGATAATTCAGGACTAGAAATTCTCACTCTGATATAAACTGCCTTGTGGTCTTGAGCAAGTCATTTAATCTTTGCAGACCTCAGTTTTCTAACCTATAAAATGAAGATAATAATCTGTTCGTTCTGTCCTTCATGAGAATACATGACATAGTTTGGGTGACAACAATATGAAAAGTGTGAAGAGCATTTAGAGGAAAATAAGCCAAACCCTGTTCATATACTGTCTCTGAGCCATCAGTTCTGGCTCAGCAAGGGATCTGGGCATCAATGGGGAGAAATTCCTGAACACATCAGCCCAATGGATGGGTAGAGTCATAAAAAGCCAGTAATGCTTTAAATTGTTTTTAAAAGGGAATTAGGAATTTTTAAAAGGGAGCTATTGTCTTACTGTAGCACAAAATGATTTTAGAATCCTAGGGTGCACCTCATGTTGCTGAGCTTCAACAAACAAGATTCAGCATTTCAATTCAAGCGTTTACTGAGCAATTCTCTGTCTCAAGCATTATGACAGGCAACGCAGGATGTGATGGTACTTGCTTTCAGGGAGCTAGAAGGGTAGCAAAAGTGATCAAGGGGAGGAGTGGAGTTTAGTACCCTAAAATAAAAATATCCAAACTCTTTAGTGTATTTTGAATAGTTCGGAAGAATAAAGATTGAAAGAAAAATGCTCAATGTCTTACAATTGTAGAAAAGCAGTAGTAAGTCTCCATCTTCCCTTTCAATACACATACATGTGTATCCCCTTTAGGGGACGAAAGAAGCTGTCTGAACTGCCCCACCTATTACCAGAAGCCCTGCTAGTACAATATGGTCCGAGCTTACAATGGTTCAAATTAAGACTTTTTTTACTTTACGCTGGTGAGAAAATCATACATATTCAGTAGAAACTGTATTTCAAATTTTTAATTTTGATCTTTTCTTGGGCTGGTGATATGTGGTGCCATATTCTCTCATGATGCTGGCCAGCAGCAGCCAGCCACAGCTCCCAGTCAGCCACGTGATCGCAAGGATAAACAGCCAATACTCTACAGTGTACTGTGTTGCCAGAGTTTTTTTAGATACCGTGTTCTAAGAACATTTAAGGTGGGCTAGGCTAAGCTATGATATTTGGTAGGTTGGGTGTATTAAATACATTTTTGACATACAAAATTTTCAACTTCCAATGGGTTTATCAGGTTGTAACCGCATCATAAGTGGAGGAGCATCTGTATTGCCCTCTCGTAGGAGGAAGGCAACCTCTGGTTGGGGCCTTGACTTGCCTAGGCCATGACTCTTGTAAATACCTTTGCAATAAAATATTCTCCATTAATATTATTCATCAAGGCTCTCTACAGTTACGTCAAGCTTACCTATCTAGTGGGTATATATTTTCATTTTAATTACCTTCTTGGTAAAGATAGCTATGCCAGCGATCTGACCATTTCTCTGGGTATGTGGACAACCGAGAGCTATACACCCTGTCACCTAATATCGTAGCAGAGCTTCCTTGGCAGGGTGAGGAGGATAAGCCATATGGTTAGCAGAACTTACCACAAGCTACATGTTTCATGATGTGCCTCAGAGAATTTCTAGAAGCCCAGAACAATACTTCCTGCCTGTTGGTTTGGACTAAGTTAAGATCTGCCTAGGATATCTCAATCTTGATAAGTAAAACAACTGAGAGTGGAGCATAGGTCATCACGTTCCTGTGCATTGTATTCCCTAACCTAAAAGACCTCTTCTGTGTCATATTGGTGCCTCTTTATTTTTTTTAAAGATTTTTAAATTGATTTTTAGAGAGGGGGGAGAGAGAAACATTGATATGAGAGTGAAATATCAATAGGCTGTCTCCTGAGCATGTGCCCTGACCTGGAATCGAACCAGCAACCTTTCGGTGCACAGGACAATGCCCAACCAACTGAGCCACACCGGCCAGGACTATTGGTGCCTCTTTAAATCATAGCTTTTTAAATAAATATGTATATATCTTTTATTGATTTTAGAAAGAGGAAGGGAGAGGGAAAGAGAGATGGAAACATCAATGATGAGTGATTGATCGGCTGCCTCCTGCACGCCCCTGACTTGGGATGGAGCCCACAACCCAGCATGTGCCCTGACCGGGAATTGAACCATGATCTCCTAGATCACAGGTCGATGCTCAACCGCTGAGCCACACCGGCTGGGCAGTTGTGCCTTTTTTAACCTCTGAGTACTTTCACTTGGTAACAGGCAACTCTGAGGACTAAAAGTAAGTATCCTGTAGAAAGTGACAAAACTGCCCTCTTAAATTGAGGCTGCCATATAGCACCCCACTGAAAATCAGAGCAATTTAGTGACTTAATCAACTAGACTGGCTTTTTTTTTTTACCTAGGCTACAACTCCTAAATCAGGGATACCTATTCCTTGTCTGCATCCTCCTCCTAGCAGCCAACACTGACTTACTCTGGTTAAAGAGAAGTTGTGGAGTAAGAATAAAGAGTCCCTGAAGGCAGAGCGCTTAGGCAAGCACTTTAGTAGCATATGCTAGGCAGACTAGTTTGCTAATGAGTCTTTTTCATTGGTTTACTTTCTTGATTTATATGTGTGTGAGGCTCCTACTGATACAATTGGAAAGGCTAATAAAAGAAGGCTAAAGTCCCTCCCCTTACTAAAAGTTAGTGTCTAGTGACTTTAATGACAGTTCTCTGTGTTGTGGGAACTCTTTATCTACAAAATCATTTAAAACCTGCATGTTTCTCTCACTGAAAAACTGGCCTAGATTAGAAGTTAAACCTTGGATGATATATCAAAACTAGAGCCATGGCAGTAGGCACTAAAAGATACCCCCTTGCATGTTCCCTAATATGTGATTTATGTCATTGAGCCAGAGGAAAAGGAATTTGGTTGATTACTAGCATTCTCGTAAAATGAAATACTGTGATTGCTAAAATAACTTTGTCTCTAGATTTCCAGGCCTACCATTCCAAACAGTGAAGAACCATTTACAGATAGATGTTCAAGCCATCTGCATACCCTTGTTTTAGGACCAATTTGCACTAACATGAGCTATTGGCTTTTGGCCATCAAAATACATATAACACAATTCGGATCAACCTAATTTGTATTTCCTTTATGTATCATATAATAGATGTTGATTAAAAACCTGTTTGTGCTTTACTTCATTGTATTGAATGATATCACAGAATCAAATTTCTACATAAAAGTATAAGCTAACTCTCTGTTCTCTGCTCCTTTTCATTCCTTCATCTCACCCTTTCCCCACCAAATGTCCTAATAATGCTGAAAATTTGAGTAAGTACAATTTTGTTACACAATTAACAAAGAATTCTGCTTTTCTGATAATCAAGTTTCTATAAAAAATACGAGTATATAAAAGATGAATTTAAGTCCACATAAAATTTTTTGAAACTGTATAGTTTTAGATAATTAACATGCAATGATTTATGATTTGCTTACTTTATGATATATCAAGAATGTCAACAGGTACACAGATGATTCTTTTGATGCATTTTCCTCTGGCTAGGATTTCAGTTTTATTCTATGTTGAAAGTGCTTTGTCCTCCATTGTGGAGCAGTGTGTGTATTTCTGAGCTTCAGAAAAGTTACCATTAGAACAGACTCAGAAATCACTAACGGTTCACTGTTTAAATGAAAAATATCACAGGTCTACTATAGGCAAGAGAGTGGTATAGATACTTTAGGAGGGCTGTCTTACCTTTTTTTATGTAGTG